TTGAAAAAAGAATAATAATGTGTCGTGTTTCTCTTCTACACGCCCCTTAAGAAATATTATTTAGGAAAGGGATTGGACTATTCTACCCTTATTTATGTCATAAGATATAATCACTCTTCATTGAATATTTATTTTATTTATGTGTTATTTCTATATTCAACAACAATTATTATTAAGGGTAAAAAAGGAAAAAAAATAATCAAATTTGTCTTAAACTTTTAAAATAATAAATAATTTGAGACAATTATTTTTAATAACCACGACTATTAATATGAGACGGAGGGATTAGTATATAATTAAGCTCTATCTCGATAGAATAAAGAGATCAGATCACACGGCACGCAAAAAGAAAATCCAAAACGGCAACATTGACTAACTTTCATTAAGGAATCATACAACATTAATAATCAACATTATAAATCTCATTCGAATAGACTCATGGGACTTGATGGTCATCAAACTATCAAATATTATATTATAATATCGTTAACAAATAATTAATTAGTCAAATCTTATCCAAGAAAATACTAATAGAAAAAAACAAGTAATCCTATTTCGTAGTCAATGGCTCAACACTAAAAATTTTCATTTCCTTTTCCATTTTCCGATCAAATCATTATTTTCATTCTCCAAAAAAAGCACAAATGTTTCAGGTTCAATTACTCCTCTCACTTCTCACTTTATCTTTCACTACCCAATCATACACTTACACGTCACAACTCTCCATCCTCCAATCAAACCCCAACCCCCTATCCATCTCCGTCACCAAATTCGGCGCCGCCGGCGACGGCATACACTATGACACCGTTCCAATCCAGAAAGCCATAAACGCATGCTCAGCCGCGGTTTCCAAACACCGTCGTCAATGCCACGTCATCTTCCCACCGGGAAATTACTTAACGGCCACAGTATTCCTGAAATCCGGCGTCGTATTGGATATACATAAGAAGGCGACGATTTTGGGAGGGCCGAAGTTGGAGGATTATCCGAAGGAGCAGAGCAAGTGGTACGTAGTACTGGCGGAGGATGCGGCGGATGTAGGGATCACCGGAGGTGGAGAAATCAACGGACAGGGATTGAAGTTTGTGCAGAGATTTGATAAGAAGAAAAATGTGATGGTGAGCTGGAATCACACCGGAGCTTGCCTTGGGGATGAGTGCAGGCCGAGGTTGGTAGGGTTCATCGGCTGCCGGAATATTGAAATCTCCGATGTCAGACTCATCGAACCTGCTTATTGGTGGTGCGTGCTCTTAACACTTTTGGTCTGGCTAAAGTTGCTTCCTAGTGAAAAAGTTTAGTAGTGTAATTTTTTTCTGGGGGAGGTAAATAGGAACTTTTCTCTTTTGGGTTAACTTTCTATAACTTTAAAATTTAATCAATTTTTGCTTTTAATGATAAATTTGACGAGGTTGCCACCGGACAGATAACTAAGAGGTTCATTTGACTGAAGGAATCAGGGAATATTATAAAAAATTAATATAATAATTTAAATCATTGTCATTTATATTTTACAAGCTTAGGGTCGTATCGGCTACTCTAGGTTTTTTTTTAATCTTTTAAGTGATGCACCCACTTTATCCCTTTTACAATTTTGAATTTAAGAAAATAAGTGTTAAATACAGATCTCTTACATGTAAAAATAAATTTTACATGTGTAAAAAAAAAAAAAGGTAGAGGCATAAAACTAAAAACAAGTTTGTAAAGAGTCAAAAAAACTAATTGACTCATGTAATTATCCAAAAATAAAACAGACGGTTTTCTATATAGTGTATAGCCAAAATTTAAGTTGCATTTTATTCCATCTCTTTCATTTTATGTAATTGTGTTTGACCATATATAGAGTTGAAGATATTAATTTGAATTTTATAATATAGTAATATTGATGGAAGAGAATATTAAAGTAGTAATTGAAAAGAGAGCAAATACTGCATCAAAGTTAAAACATGAATTTAAATTATTGAAAGTTATGAATGTTGTATAAAAATAAATTTGTGTCAATGTTTTAGAATTTCAAAATAGAAAGAAAAACGGTGCATTAAGCTCTCGCTATGCACGGGGTCCAGGGAAGTGCCGGACCACAAATGCCTATTGTATGCAGCATTACCCTGCAATTTTGCGAGAGGTTGTTTCTACGGTTCAAACTCGTGACCTCCTGGTCAATTGGAACTCACGAAATAGGAATCATTGAATATCTCAATTTTTATTTCAAAGATCCAGGGGCATGTGACATGTCCAGAATTATAAATTACTAGCTATTAATGAGAACAATCTGAAGATTTAGCTTGTTCTCACAAAAATGCAATTTGGTTTTTCGATTATCTACACCTTTAATATGTAGGAAAGTTCAAACCAATGACCAGTTTAGTCAAGGGTTGATGATGGATATAAGCTTATGTTGCATGAAATCAACCTTTAATCTTCTTTTTCTTCCCCTTAGAGGTCAATCTTTTAAAATTTGTTGTTTTCAAATTTCATTCTCTATCCCTTTCCCTGTTCTGAAATTATTTCAAGAATCCAACTAATGGTGTGATGTTGCAGTTTGCATCTTGTACGAAGCGATAACACGTCAATCAGTGATGTAACAATATATGGGGACTTCAATTCACCTAATAACGATGGTATAGACATAGAGGACTCTAACAATACGGTCATCACCAGATGCAACATAAACACAGGAGATGATGCTATCTGTCCAAAGTCATCAACTGGACCTGTCCACAACCTCACAGCAACAAACTGCTGGATTCGAACAAAATCTTCTGCCATCAAACTTGGAAGCGCTAGCTTTTACACGTTCAAGAATTTCTTATTTGACAACATTACAATTTTTGAATCTCATAGAGGCCTCGCTCTGCAAATTCGTGATGGAGGTATTCACCTTTGGTTCTTTTCTGCTAGAATGACAGTCGATATATTAATATACAAACTTTTACTTGTGTCTAACTTTGCTCCGTGTTTTACACTTGCATTTCATGAGTACATTTTTTTCATGCAGTAGAAGCAGAATTAAAACTTAAACCTTCTAGTGTTCTGATGCTTTAATCGTTCCATTTTGGTTTCTTAGGTACAAGCCTCGGTGTTGTGCCAACTTAATTCCTTGAAACCTTGTTATAGTTGCCAGGAACTAGTCATGGCTATACCAAACAGCTTAGTGCAACTAAAATCCTAAATTGCAATCAGAACTTAGATGATTTGACTGCTTAACTTTACTGAAAGTAGTCGATCAATTGGTTTGGTTTGTGTCTCAGGATATCAAATACAAGCCTAGTTCAGTTAAGCTCTTAGTTTTCTTGTATTTAGTTGTTTGTTTGACATACTTGAAATGATTCTCCTACCTACCTGAACATAAGCACTAGATTGTACAATGCTGTTAAACCTTTGCCTTTTACCTTTTTCTTTGCAACAACAATAACAACAAACTCAGTGTAATTCCACAACTGGGGTCTGGGGAAGGTAGTGTGTACGCGGCCTTACCTCCCCTACCTTGTGAAGGTAGAGAGACTGTTTCCGACAGACCCTCGGCTTGGGGTTTTTTACCCTTTTATTTGATCTTGCAAAACAAATTACCAACTCTTAATTGTTATGTTTCTCTCATGCATTTATACCTCTATTTCCCTATCTTGCTTTCTCAAATTTCAGTATTGCATTGTCTTAATTGATTATTTGCCGAGCAGGAAATGTTAGCGACATCACCTTCTCAAACATAAACATCAGCACAAGATATTACCACCCATCATGGTGGGGAAGAGCAGAGCCTATTTATGTGACAACCTGTCCAAGAGATGCAACTTCAAAAGCGGGTTCAATCTCCAATTTGCTATTTGTTAATATCACATCAACTTCTGAAAACGGCATCTTCTTATCGGGTTCAGGAGGTGGAGTCCTGAGCAATCTGAAGTTCATAAACATGAACCTAACATACAAGAGATGGACAAAATATCCAGATGGTTGGGTGGATTACAGGCCAGGATGCCAAGAACTTGTAAAACACCAAACTGCTGGAGTCATGATGGAGCATATCGATGGTTTGGTTTTCGAAAATGTAGTCATGAAATGGTCTAATGATGAATCGATGAGGTGGAATAATCCTTTGGATTTCAGGCCATCGACTGTAAATAACATTTCTATGCTCAATTTCTACTCCAGATCTTACCAACAATGAGGGATTAATAGGATGCAGCGAGTAAAATTTGTTCTTCTGAAAAATAAAGCTGCAAAACACCCCTCCATTTTCCAAAACATAAATGATTTATGTGCAAATGATGAATGCAAAGTGATGTTGATTTGGATTTGCCGCAGTTGAAGGGCTGCTCCTCGTTGTACCTCTTAGCATTTGCTTTCTCACATTCTATGTAGAATAGAGATGTTGGTGTTATATAAAAATATTAACTTGAGAATGTTATACTGATGTGACATAAAAATATTGGACCCAGGACACTCTGGATTTTGGTATGGAGTTCAAATTTTACAAAGTGGCATTAATGTTTAAGTTGATGTTGAAAAAAGACGAGTATTTAAAGTTGCATGCACGAGCACAACCCAAATCTTTTAACTTTGTGTTTTTGGATTACATTAAGCTGACCTCTACTATGTACTTATCTTTTCGTTTTTAAATTTCTGACATTTTAATTAAAAATAATAACCGAAGAGTACTTTTGTTTGAGAAAATGATTTATATGTCCGAGTACATAAAAAGACTAAAAACAAATAATATCACATATTTGGAGTACAATTTTCCCTACACACTTGTGTGGTAAAAACCATAATATATTATACATTAATATGCATAATAACAAAGTCTCATGGCTCCTACCTTCCCCAAAAACATGGTGAGAAAAACAACTCTATTTTTCTGTACAATGAAGCATGTATTTTCATCCATAATGAAAAAGTCATCTTTTTACCACCAGACGCCAACTTTCTTCTGCTCATGTCCGTCAAGTACTTCAACTCTTGTAGCTCTAAGCTCCGATGGTCTCCTATCAGAAGCCTTATTTGAAATGGCCAAACGAGGCCTTGAAGTGAAATTCAAGGAATACGATACTCTGTTAAACCAATGTATAAACCAAAGGGCTATAAGAGAAGGCCAAAGGGTACATACCCACATGATCAAAACCCATTATCAACCTCCAGTCTACCTCAGANTGTACCTCAGGACAAGGCTGATCGTTTTCTACATAAAATGTGAGCTTTTAGATGATGCTAGGTGGGTGTTTGATGAAATGCCTGAGAGAAATGTTGTTTCTTGGACTGCTCTTATTTCTGGGTATTCTCAGAAAGGGTATGTCTCTGAAGCTCTCCATCTTTTTGTTCAGATGTTGAGATCAGGTACATCTATTACTTTGAGAAGTACTTACAAATTTAGGCATATATCTTCATATCAAACACGCTTTTGCACATTTGAAACTACTTAGTTAATTAAGTAGAAAATGTATTTTGTACCATCTAGCTAAAAAGACAACTATGAACTGTTAACATGTTAATACTGGTAAGTNTTTTGGCTGTGTTATCTGGTTGCAGCCACGGAGGAATGGAGGATAAAGGTGTACAGATTTTCAATGAAATAAGTATTGGCAAAGACAGGGTCGAGGTTAACATTGAGCACTATGGTTGTGTGGTTGATTTGCTAAGTCGAGCTGGCCAAGTAGAAAGGGCCTTTCAATTCATCAGAGAGATGCCTTTTCCACCAACTGCTGCAATTCTGGGTTCACTTTTAGGTGCTTGCTGGGCTCACCTGTGTGTTGATATTGGTGAAATTGTAGCCAAACAACTTTTAAAGATAGAGCCAGAAAATTCTGGAACTTATGTGATCCTTTCGAACTTGTATGCATCGGCAGGAAGGTGGGAAGATGCAAGAAGTGTAAGAGAGATGATAAACGAACGGGCCATTGTAAAGGAATCCGGAAAAAGCTGGATTGGTCCTGATCTTATCCATGAAACAGAGAAGGTTATAGCAAAATGTAGTGGAATTAGCAGTAAGGATCAGGTAATGTACTTATATTCCTGATTTTTAGGTTGTGTGTCTTGTTTGATATGGATGAGAAGTGAAAAAAAGAAAGAAAATGCTGCTAGGACAACTAGCTTTGGCTTATGAACTACTCTGCACATCCTTAGAAAGCATATTCAAGTGAAAATCCATGGAACTCTGCTGGCTGTCAGAGCTGACCCATGTTCCCAAGGTTGAGCTGTGAAGGAGAATCAGTTGCAAGAGGCACAGCTCAGTTTGATGATTTATTGGGTATATCCATATGGAGACTACTGGTAAAAGAATTCCAGTCTTGCTGAATTTTCTGCCCAATGGGAGGATGGGATAAAACATATCGTTAGGGATGGCAATGGGGTGGTGCGGGTTAAATGAGGTGAAGTATGAATGCGGTGCGGTGCGGGGGCGGTGCGGGGGCAAACAATTTTCTTAAAATCAGAGAGGGCAAAGCGGTTGTGGGTTAAGACCCCTTTCTTTTGAACTACACATCTAGACCTACTACTTCCTTCTCTGTTTCTCTGGTCTCCGTAGATTTTTGCCTATTACAGCTGCACTGTTCTCGACTCTCACAGTCTCATTCTCTCTCTGCTCTCTGGTTTCTCCATCCCTCTTTGCCTTTGGTCTCGCCATCTCGCTGTCTTGCCGGTAATAGTCTAACTCTACTACTTCGTTCTTCTTTTTCCTATTATTACAGAAAATTTTCCGAATCTAACTTGTTTGAATCCACAATTGTTTCTGACGAGAGATGTTAGGCTTTCATCATCTAGGATCTCTTTTGTGCCCCTTTGATTGTTTGGGTTAAACCATTAAATTATTTATACATGCATTCACTATCATGAAAATACACAAAATGCAAACAACAAACATACAACCAACAAATTGTTGAGCAGAAGCTGAAGTTGGCTGCTAAAACCGTGAAGCTGATCTTGTATTTGTCTCAGGAACGAACTTGGAAGAAACCCTGCATTTTTTTATTTCTTGTTGACTGCCTTAACTCAAAGATTTTTAATTTTTTGGTTTCCAAGTAAGTAATATTTTTCTGGATTTGCATAGATTGTTGTTAATTTGATTGTCATTATTGAGTGTATTTGAATCAGAGGTTGTGTCGAAGTTCGTTATATGGTTGAATGGGGTTGTTAATTTGATTGTCATTATTAAATTCTCTTTTCTTGTGTTTATGTGATTATAGATAAGTATGGAGTCTCAAGATGAAGAAAATTCAATGGTTTCATCTTCTAGTACTTTTCCCATTGAAGATGAGAGCCAAAGACCGACTCAAGCTAACAAAGTTATTGGAACTAAAAATAAGAAATTGACTTTTAAAGCACAACATTTTAGATTGCTGATGATCAATGGTGTTTTCTTTGGTGATTGTTAGTATTGTAATACTCGTATCATGACAACTAGGAAAAGTGGGACAAGCTAGATATTAGACCATATTGCTAGATGTCCTAATAAGCGACAAAACTTGGATAGTAAGGGTAGTTGGGGGCTGATAATGGTAGCCAACAAAATTATTTTGATCAAGATGTTTCACGTAGAGAACATGTTCATGCCATCATTTTTTCTGAGTATCCATTGCCCATTGTTGATCATGTGGGATTTAGGAAGTTTGTTGCTAGTCTTTAGCCATTGTTCAAAACGGTTTGAACGAATACAATCATGATTGACATTCCGAATATTATTGACAATGTGAAATAAAAAACTTCTAAGTTACTGAAAAGCACCACTAGTAGAAGTGCAATAACAATTGATATGTGGACTGTATGTAACAACAAAAAGGGTTTGTGGCTATTATCTGACATTTTATTAAGGATTCATGGAGACGTCAAAGCCATTTTATGAGCTTTCATATTCCTTCTCCATACGGTAAGGCTACTTTGTGTTATGTATTGCTTAATTGTTTGTATTAGTGAATTCTTGAACCGGGAATATCAACCATTACAATTGATAATTTTAGCGGAAATGTCATGATGAGAATCTTATTAGATGAGAAACTTTGTAAAAAAGATTTATTATTGATGGGTTGAGTGTTTCATGTGCATTATGTTGCACATGTTTGAATTTGATTGTGCAAGAAGGGCTAAAGGTTATAGGAGATAGTATTAGTAACATGTGTGACCGTGTTTCATACTGGATAAGGTCATCAGGGAGAATTGAGGCGTTTGAAGAATTCGCATATTTACTACACAGTTACAACAAGCCCAGTATAATTCCACAAGTTGGGTCTGGGATTTACTATACAATTCTTGTAATAAAAAGTTGTTGTAGGAACTCAATATGTCTAATGTTGAGAACCATAGAATATAAAGAGGTGTTTCAAAAGTTAAGTCTAATTGACACCAATCATTAGTGTTTTCCAACCGATGGACAATGGAGTGAAGCAAAAGATGTTTGTAATAAGTTGAAGCTCTTTTACCATATCATTGAACAATTTTCATGACTCCAATATCCGATTTCAAGTCGGTACTTTTTAAAAACTTGTTAAGCGAGATTTATAAGCATGTGTGAAGAGCTTTAATTCTTTGATTTTTTTTGTAGATTTCTTGCAAGAAGAAAGGCTTCTTGTATGTATGTGTATATTTTTACATCCCATGAGAATAGATACCCATGCTTCTAATTCTAGCTTAACTCCACAATCTTTGAAAAGTATTGACTTGAAGTTGGATGGTTAACTCCCGAAAATTGTTCAATAATATGGTAAAAGAGCTTCAACTTGTCACAAACATCTTCGACTTCACTCTATTGCCCATTAGTTAGACTCAACTTCTGAATCTATGGTTGTTCTCAACACTAATATGTTGACTACCAACGAGTAGGGCAATTATATAACCCCTTCGTTTCAATTTAACTGTCTTAGTTTGACTAGGTATGAAGTTTGAGAAAATAAGAAATACTTGCACCCAAGGGTGTGGCCTAGTGGTCAATGAAGTGGGTGAGAACCATGAAGTTTCAGGTTCAAATCCCAGCGGAGGCAAATACTAGGTGATTTCTTCCCATCTATCCAAGCTTTGGTGGATAGAGTTACCTGGTACCTGTTGCTGGTGGGAGGTGGCAGGTATCCCGTGGAATTAGTCGAGGTGCGCGCAAGCTGGCCCGGACACCACGGTTATCAAAAAAAAAAAATAAGGAATACTTTTGAATCGTGTGGTCTTAAACATGCCATGTAAAATGTTGGAATTGGAGAGTTACCAAATTTAAAAAGAGGCATTCTTTTTGAAACATGCTAAAAAGAAAGTAAGATACTTAAATTGAAATGAAACATGCTAAAAAATAAGTAAGATACTTAAATTGAAACGAGGGAGTAAAACTTTTGTTACAAGAATTGTGCAGAAAACATGTGGCTCCTTCAAACCTTTCAATTATGCCTGGTGACCTATGTTGCGCGGACTCTCCAAAAATGCTGGCACACCCATGTCGGATCCTCCAAAAATGCACTACTTTTGGAGGATCCGGCACGCACATTTTGGAGAGTCCAAGCAACATAGCTGGTGATTTTATCTAGTATTCATGCACGTTGCTAATATTATCTCCTATTACCTTAAGCCCTTGTTGTGCAATCAAAAATATGTTCAACACTATACACATGAAACAATCGACCCATCAACAACAAATTACTTTTACTAAGTTTCTCATCTAATAAAGGTTTTATCATAGCCTTTGTTGTGCTATAATGATCGGTTATAAGATATTCTGCGTTTAAGAATCCACTCAAGCAATTAAGTAGTGCATTACATGAAGTATCTCTATCATGTGGAGTAGGAACATATGCGAATCTCAGAATATGGCTCTGCAGTCTCCATGAATTATCTGATAATAGTCTCACACTTTTTGCTGTTATCTGAAGTCCATATATCAGTTGTTATAGCAATTCTGCTAGTGGTAGTTTTCAATAACTTAGACACTTTTTATTCTAATTGTCAAAATCTTCGTAATGTCGTTCTTGATTGTATTCCTTGAAATCATTTTGAACAACGAACTTCCTAAACCCCATATGATAAATAATGGACAGTAGATATTCTTGCAAAATGATGGCATGAGCAAATTCTCTACGTGAAACATCTTGATCAAAATAATTTTGTTGGATTCTATTATCACCTCCACGACACCCTCATTTTCCAAGTTCTTTGGCTTATCGGGACATCTAGCAATATGTTCTAACATAGAGCTTTTCCCCCATTTCTTAGTTGTTTTCTACGAGTATTACAATCACCAATCTAGAATATTGCCATGCTTTATTAGTCAACTTCCTCTTTTTAGTTTCAGCATCTTCATTAGTTTAAGTAGGCGTTTGACTCTCTCCTTCAATGAGAAAGTAACTGGTCTCATTTCCGGGTATTCTCAGAGAGGGCATGTCACTGAAGTTCTCCGTCTTTTTGTTGAGATGCTTTTATTTCTGTGGAAAGTACTTACCGTTTACCTATATATATCTTCATAGCAGTTCTGCATTGCAAGAGAGACAAACTCTTGCACCTTAGAAACATGTTAATTAAGTTGAGAAACTGGTTAATTTAGTTGAAACTGTATTTTATAGCATCTAGCTGAAAAGGAAACTTTATACTTTAACAAGTTAATACTGATAAGCGTGAGCTCTCTTGTGTTGGTTGTCTAAAGAAAAAGAAAGTGTGATTATGTAGGAACTGTCTCCTGTTGTCTTTACCATTTATTTTAAAAACTGGTAACAACATTGGCAATGAGGAAGAGAGCGAGACTAGCACTTACAATTTGATGAACTTGTTATGAGATAATAGGAAGAACTTGATTTTGTTTTCCCTTCAATGAACATAAGTTGAAGTATATTAGTGACCTAAATAAGTTAAGCATTTCTCAGCTAAGGAATCTTGTTTGAGAAATTCTTACTTCTTTTGAATCATTCAGTCGATTTTGTAAGATAATTGTAATGAATGGCATGAATTTAGTGGACCACTTAATGTTAAAAAAGTATGGTAATCAATTGGGTTCACTCCTGGAAGCTTTCATTTTTGGTCCTTTTAGTTAGATCATAACCAGAAAAATCCACTGTCTTTAGTGTCTTGTGGTCAAGAGTCCTTTTGAATCACATGTATATATTAAAGTTTACTCCTTGATATGTATGCCAAAGCTGGCAAAGTTCATGATGTTCGATGTGTTCTTGAAGGCCTGCCACAAAGAGTTGTTGTCTCCCGTACTGCTTTAATCTCAGGCTATGCTCAACAGCGATTAGATGAAGATGCACTAGAGCTTTTCCGCCAGTTACATGCAGAGTGAATGTCTTCCAGTGGAGGATGTTCCTTGAGAGCTTGATATTTGCATTGTGGCTCTTGCATATAATGGGGTAGAGTTTTCTAATGGACTCCTAAAGCAGCTGTCAGCCATTTAGTAGAAGGAAGGAAACAGTACCTACAGAAACCACATGTATCAGTTGTCAATGATTTACAAATTTAATAACCACAGCTCTCAGGATTTCTGCTTATTGTGAAGTGATCAGCTCTTCAAAGTGTTTGGTTATCAGGAATTTCGTTGATTGAAGATGCCTGTACTGGTAGCCTCAGACATATTAGTATCATCTACTGGAATTAGGATCACTTGAAATGCTGAGCTAATTTATCCAAACTAGGTTGCTTGGTTTCAGTGTGCAGATTTTCACAAACATAATAGAAGTTATCCTGCTTCTTTCTTGTTTGGAGAAATACTGATTGAATAAATACTTATTGGTGGCTCAAATAAGTGGAGATCATCCATGCACTTCTCCGACCCCATTTGTGGAATTTCCTTGTCCTTGTTGTTGTTATTGTCATCGCTTCCATGCACTATTTGGAACACCGTATATTCATGAACTAAATTAAACTCAAGTTCGTCAATTTCTAAGGTAAACATAAGTTTAGGATTCAACATATTATGAAATTAATTTGCATGATATAAGCTCTAATTTTCCATTACAAAAATAAAAGGTTTAATGTGAAGGGAAAAAATAACGAAGTATGCACAAACATAGTTAACTGCCAAAAAAAATGAAAGAAGTTATTTTGTATGCTTAGTAAATCTGCTTATTTTTCATGTTGAATTTCTTCACTTTGGAGATATGTAACTGTTATCTCTAAAACGTATTCTTTTCCTAGAATTTTTTTGAGATTCTGGCTCCTCATTCATGGTTAAATTTTAGGGACAATGTCTAAAACTGCCCCTCTACTATACTATATTGTTTACTTTTGTCGCTCGTTATATTATTTGTCTATTCTAGCCTCTACCGTTAATGAACTTAAAGTATTTACCCATATCTCTAATGGATCTACACCGTGACAGCTGACCCACTCCATTTTTTCCATGTCAGTTGCCAAGTCACACGACCAAAAAATCCCAAATCGGATTGTTTCGGCCACCTCACCTTCCTCTTCCTCTTCCCCTACCATTTCTTCTTCCATCCCCATTCAAAGCCACCAGCACCTTCAAGGCTCCATCTACCATTACAACCAAACAATCCCAAATTGGATTCAAGTAACTTGGAGGTGTTGGTGGCTTTGAGTGGGGGTGGAAGAAGAAATGGTAGGGAAGAGGAAGGTGAGGTGGCCGAAATAATCCGATTTGGGATTGTTTGGTCGTGTGACTTGGCAACTGACATGAAAAAAATGGAGTGGGTCAGCTGGCACGGTGTAGATCCATTAGGGATATGGGTAAATACTTTTAAGTTCATTAACGGTAGAGGCTAGAATAGACAAATAATATAACGAGCGGCAAAAGTAAACAATATAGTATAATAGAGGGGCAATTTTAGACCTTTTCCCTAAATTTTAATTTGGTTTTCGTGTTATCTAACTAAGTTTGGTATAACACCTTTTTTCAGCATAATAAAAAGGGCAAGTTTCACACGATTAAGATATAGTAGAAATTTGTTTTAAAAACGCAAATATCTATCTTTTTTCTATTGTTTGATTGGTTGGAAGGATTGAAGAAAATAATTTCAACATAACATCTGCACAAAATAATAAAAATAATCCATACATAACTTATGTAGTGTTTGATTGGCCGCATAAGAAAAAATAATTCCCCCAAAATCTTATGTAGCTTTGGTTTGTGTTATTAAATAATACTCATGTTAAATTAATGCGGGAATCTATATTATCGAAATAGAATGTGAAATACGAATATGTGTATCGATAATAAAATTAAAACTCTTATGTTACGTGTATTAGTAATACATAAATCAAAATATCTAAAGAGAAGATGCACTTAATATAAGTAATCTCGACAAATCTCTCAACTATTAATCATTGCATAACATGTCCTATATGATTAATTATTGCATATCAATCTCTTAACTATTATTCATTACAACAACAACAATAAAAAAAAATTAGTGGATCCCACAAGTGGGGTTTGGAGAGGTTAGTGTGTATGCACACCTTACCCCTACCCTGGGAAGATAGAGATGATATTTCCGATAGACTCTCGGCTCAGGAAAGATGAAACAAAGCAGTAGCAAAACAAGCAACAACAATAGCAAGATACTGAAAAAATAGATAGAAGGAAGCAATAGCAATAAGCAGTAACAACAGCAGGATACCAAGAAACCGAAGCGAAAGATAATAAGAAAATAATAGGTAATAAATGCAATTTAAGAATAAGAAGAACTAACAGACCAACACTAATACCACCGGTACAAAAATGAAAAACACTCGACTATCTACTAGCCTTCTACCTTAATTCTCGACCTCCACACCCTCCTATCAAGGGCCACGTTCTCGGTAAGCTACAGTCGTGCCATGCCATGCTTGATCACCTCTCCCCAATATTTCTTTGGCCTCCCTCTACCTCTTCTCATACCCACCAAGAGCAATCGCTCACACCTCCTTACTGGGGCATCTATGTTTCTCTTCTTCACATGTACGAATTATTTTAGTCTCGCTTCCCGCATCTTGTCTTCTACTGAGGCCTTTCCCACCTTTACCCAAATATCATTATTTCTAATCTTATCCAACTTTATATGCCCGTACATCTAAATTATCCTCATCTCTGCTATTCTCATCTTCTGGATATGAAAGTTCTTGACTGGCCAACAGTACTCTACTCCATACAACATAGTCGATCTAACCATCACTCTGTAGGACTTACCTTTAAGTCTCGGTGGCACTTTCTTATTACACAAGACTCTAGATACTAGACTCAATTTCATCCGCGATGCTCCGATACGATGTGTGACATCGTTGTTAATCTCCACATTCTCTTAGATAACAGACCCAAAATATCTGAAACTTCCTATTTTTGGGGATGACTTGTGAATCAAGCCTCACGTCCATGTCCACTTCCTCGGTCGTGTCACTGAACTTGCACTTTAAGTATTCTGTCTTAGTACTACTCAACTTAAAACCTTTAAACTCCAGAGTCTGTCTCCAAACTTTCAGTCTCTCGTTGACGCCGCCTCGCGTCTCGTCAATCAGTACAATGTCATCTGCGAATGACATACACCATGGCACCTCCCCTTGAATATGGCGCGTCAATGCATCCATCACTTAGGCAAATAAGAACGGGATAAGAGCTAAGCCCTAGTGCAACCCCATCACAACAGAAAAATATTCGAGTCTTCTCCCACAGTCCTTACCCGAGTTTTAGCTCCACCGTACATGTCCTTAATCATCCTAATGTACGCTACAGGAACACCTTTAGTCTCCAAACATCTCCACAGAACCTCGCTTGGGACTTTGTCGTATGCTTTCTCTAGGTCAATGAATACCATGTACAAATACTTCTTCTCTCCCTATATTGTTCCACTAATCTCCTTACAAGATAAATGAATTTTGTAGTCGAACTTCCCGATATGAATCCAAACTGGTTCTCGTAAATAGACAATGTCCTCCTAACCATTACTTCAATCACTCTCTCTCTCTCTCTCTCTCTCAAACCTTCATAGTATGACTAAGCAGTTTGATACCCATATAGTTATTATTATTTTGGACATTATCTTTGTTCTTGTACAACGGAATCATCGTACTCTACCTCTATTCTTTCGGCATCTTCTTCATCCTAAAAATGAGTTAAACAACCCAGTGAGCCACTCCAATCCTGCCATACCTACGTGCTTTCAAAATCCACTGGGATTTCGTTTGGTCTGGTTGCTCTACCTTTGTTCATCTTACGCATAGCCCCCTCGGCCTCTTCAACTTTAATACGATTACAATACCGAAAATATCGATGACTCTCGGATAGCTCCAGATCACCCAGCACAATGTTCGTGTCTCCCTCTTCATTCAAGAGTTTATGAAAGTACGCCTGCTATCTTCGTCTAATATGTGCCTCTTCTATCAGAACTCTGCCTTCCTCGTCTTTGATGTACTTCACCTGGTCTAGATCACGGGCCTTCCTTTCTCTCACTTTGGCTAGCATGTACAGTCTCTAGTCGCCTCCTTTGACCCCAAGTTCTTCATACAAACAACCAAACGCTGTTGTCTTAGTCTCTGGTACTGCTAATTTTGTCTCCTTCCTAGTCTTCTTATACAACTCGTTGTTCGTCCTCTACTCCTCATCGTCTGCGCTATCCAGAGAACGATGCCGTTGAAGTCGTCTTCTTCAAGCAATCCTTAGAAAACAAATAATGTGCAATCGATTCACACTCTCTTCATTTTTCTCTCTCTATGTGCAAATATTTCTTCTCTCCCTATATTGTTCCACTAATCTCCTTACAAGATGAATGGATTATGTAGTCGAACTTTCCGACATGAATCCAAACTAGTTCTCCTAAATAGACACTGTCCTCCTAACTATTACTTCAATCACTCTCTCTCAAACCTTCATAGTATAACTAAGCAGTTTGATACTCATATAATTATTATTATTTTGGACATTATCTTTGTTCTTGTACAACGGAATCATCGTACTCCACCTCTATTCTTTCGGCATCTTCTTCGTCCTAAAAATGAGTTAAACAACCCAGTGAGCCACTCCAATCCTGCCATACCTGCGTGCTTTCAAAATCCACCGGGATTTCGTTTGGTGTGGTTGCTCTACCCCTGTTCATCTTACGCATAGCCCCCTCGACCTCTTCAACTTTAATACGCTTACAATACTGAAAATCTCGATGACTCTCGGATAGCTCCAGATCACCCAGCACAATGTTCGTGTCTCTCTCTTCATTCAAGAGTTTATGGAAGTGCGCCTGCTATCTTCGTCTAATATGTGCCTCTTCTATCAGAACTCTGCCTCCCTCATCTTTGATGTACTTCACCTGGTCTAGATCACGGGCCTTCCTTTCTCTCACCTTGGCTAGCATATATATA